TTTTCTATCTTCTATTTAATTATTATTATATTTTATTATTTATTCCTTTTCTTTTCCTTCTTTTTTTTCAGGAGGGACTTTTTGGGCGGAAGTATCAGATCTTTTTGTTGTATTGGCTCTTCCCTCTTCGTTGAACTAAAGCTATGAAAGGCTGCCAACTGTTTTCTACCAAACACCTGGTACTCATGCAGATGTGTGAGGTTATTCCACTGAAGTGAATTCTTTGGAGAATTATGCGTGATCCATGACGTAGGGTTCACCCAAGTTCTCCGAGTTCGACTTAAATATAACGTTTTCTTGCGGTTTGTTCACTTGGTTGACAAGTAAAATAGTACCTTTTAAACTTGTTTTCAACTTCTCTTCTTATCGCTCAGAAGGGTCGCCACCGATCAAGGACTCAGATTTTATGCGAGGCTGTGTAGTATAGCCCGCTGATTTTCTGGTCTCTTTAAAAAATCTTGAACACAGCTCAAATTCGTGTGTAAAGGATCGGGTGCTTTCGTTTCACTTTAAACAATTTACACATACATTTATATGTCGCATTACATCTACTTATTCGATGTTTTTCCTCAATAAGCAGACACGAGGTTGTTATTATAGAATTTATTGAGATACAGTAGCTGACGTTTCGCCGGTTTCGCCTTCTTCAGAGCCGTTTGTTTTATCTCAGTTAGTTGATGGATAACAGCCGCACAGAGTAATACATGGGCGATAACTCCTACTGTTAATAACTTGTAATAACTCAGTACTTATAATAAAATATATAATTATAATAATAATAAATAAATAGTATAATATAATATAATAACAACAATATAATATAATACAATAATACATAATAGTAATATAATATAATAATAAATATAATATATAGATATATACTAAAATATATGTAATGTATATAATACAATACTTATAACTCTTACTCTGCAACTAATTTTGTACCAGGATGGTGACGGATTGTAGCATCGGTTTACTCTTAGCTAGGCTTCATGATGGAAACGCCGAACTCCTTCTCAGCTTGGGAGACCCTGCCAGGGGATGAATCCCCTGCTGTACATCGTAGTCCGACACCAAGGAACACCTCCCAGCCACGACGTGGCGGTAAACCGTTGGGATTATATGCTGATATTGTTGAAATTAAGTCGGATGTGGTCACTTATTACTAACTTTCTATTCTTTTTATGGCAGCCTATGATGCCAAATATAAGCGCAGTGATATTTGCAAAAGTCCACACCGCATGTGTCTGCACTAGTGATCGAGCCTGCCATGAAAGGAATGGGCAGTAAGTAATAAGTTACTACATTGTGATTTATACTACGATTTCAACTTAACATGGTTCAATGTCGATTAGTTCTCCACAAATCAATCTCGTTGACGGGTGGTTGCTTATAGGAAATATAAAACACAACTGAGACAAAGTCGAAACGAAGGATCGGCATGGTGGGATGGTGAAGGCGTTAGCCCCATGAAAGTGTAAGAGCGAGTTCGATCCTCGTCAGTCCAGAGTTTCGCAAATATCTCAGCATCACTGTGGTTAAATCGGATACTTGCGTGGCCGCAGACCCTAGAGCTAACTAACGCCGAAGCTCGCCAAGATGGTAATTTTAGCACCAAAATTGTCTGGTTAGATAAAAATGATGACCTAATTTAGTAGGGCTTCACAAGTCATTGTGTGTTCATTAAGCTCAACGGTATTTAGTAAAGTTGAATGCATAGTGCATCCGTAGGGATTTATGAATATCGAACGTACCATACTATCATACTTTATCTTTATGTGGTTATTACCTTCATCTAAGGAAACGTCGATCGATAAATCATACGATTCAGGTGCGGTTGTATGCGCCTCAGGATGTGATCAAGGGTCACTCTGAATTCGGTTTGGACACAGCTATTCGTGCTCTCGAATATTTCGAGAAATACTTCGACATATCGTACCCACTGAAAAAGATTGGTAAGAGCTTATTTATTGAACGTACAAATGCACCTATCAGAAAATGGCTACATTACAAAGTGGTACCGAAAGCCAAGTAGTAAAAATATCTTGGTTCATTACCTCTCCTCTCACCCCTCTCACACGAAAAGGGCGCTTGTAAGAAACATGTTTCGAACAGCAACCAACGTGTGCACGGGAAGAGAGCAGAGAGAGGAGTCCCGGAACTTGGCACGGCAAATAGCCGTTTCTAATGGCTACGAAACTGTAGCTTGGGATAGGTGTAGAGGAAATCGTAGGCCTCCAAACGACAACTCTAGCGATAGAAGGGTCCCGTTTATCCTACGCTTCATCTCAAATGATATAAGTACAGCTATAAAACGCTGCTTAAGAAGGGCGCGCTTAGAGAATTCGGTGAGCGTAGTTGAAATAACACCGAGTAATCTTAAGCGCCAGCTAGTTCGTAACCGCCTATATGACCGTCTATGTGCAACTCAAAATTGCATAATTTGCCCCAGTGGTAGAGACGCTGATTGCATGAGCTCGGGTATAGTTTATCTGATCTCCTGTAAGACGTGTGGTGACGAATACATTGGCGAAACGGGTAGACCCCTCTGTGTCCGCATGAAAGAACACCTAGCCGGCAAAAATAGACCAAATACCCCGCTAGGCACGCAGAGGACCCAGAGACATAACGGGGACGACTTCGAAGTATGTGTCACGATCCTCGCACGCGAATCGAGAACACAGGCGCGAAAAACTCTCGAGGCACTCTGGATTAATTCCAGAAATCCGAAAATGAACCGCAGGGAAGAATGCCTCATTATCACGCGTGATATGGGGCAGTATATAAAACTGCTTTTCTGATATGAGGGGCACATTATACTTCCATGTGATTTCTGTGCGGTTGGTCTCTACGTGACATACTTAGTGGAAACCTCATAGAAAGCGGTGAGTGTGCAAAGCTGTGTTCAAAGTGATTGAAATCTTGGTTTGGAGTTTCTTTGTTTGGTTATGGAGGCGTCTGGCCGAGTAGATTGCTATCAACTTGACCTTTCCAGGCTCTGAGGAAGGCGAAATCCGCCGAAACGTCAGATTAATCGTGAACAAAGAATAATAACACCTCGCGTTTGCTCAACAAAAATACGAAGAAAATTACTTGATCAATGCCGAGGTTAATAGAAAGTCGGTCGTGGCAGTTATTTATTAGAATTTATAAAAAGATCACGTTCATGAAAGCGAGCCATCACCATGAACAGTACTTTTACAAACAACTGCTATGTTGTGCATACGGCGCGCAGAACGCAAACATGCAGTAGCTTTCCCAAAGGGGTTGTAGCGGGCAAGAACATTTTTTCTTCAATCGAAGGTTGAAGATCTGACTATAAACCTGCTTGGCGTGGAGGAAAAGCTTTCATTCGCTGATCGGTCAGAGTTCACAAGTCACTGCATTGTGCGAATGTTCTACCTAATTTGTCAATGGATGCAATTTTTCCTACGAAATAGTTAAGGACGACTTTATGTAGTAATAAAGTGTTCTTTCGACTCCAATACATATCGATAAGATTGTTAGAAACCCAATTAAAAGATTCATGCGCGAGAGAAGGCATTTGTTTCACAAGAAAATCTCTATTCGAAAAGAAAGGTCCTACTCATGATTGTGAAATCTCCATGTCATATCTGGTCTTTACAATGACTCACGGCTCCCTACCGATGTATCAAGCTAGTGCTGCTACCCTCCCAGACAAGTTTGGTACCAATTTGCAGACCCTGGAGGGATGGAGGGCTTGTTAGGCCATGGGCGCTGGGATCGATTCCACGTGTGTGTCACGGATCTCCTCTGACCATTGCGCCACACGCGCCCATAGGTAATTAAGCCTTTATAAACTACAATATCAATACAACAGCAACGATATAGCAATAACAGAAAAGTTTTTTTGCATGACGCGCTATCACATCTACTGTTTGGGTCCATCACTTCTTGTGTTCAATTCGTTTTCCTCGCACTAATCGTCCACAATGGTCTTCGAACGTTTCACGTGTTATTTCAGCTGCTGCTTGAGGATTTCCTCCTCTTTATGAATGTTATAGGATTCTGATTGAGTCAGTCTTTGAGATCGTCCGGCTTAGGTGTTTCTGCGTGAATTGGAGGAGAACTTTGAGGCGGGGATCGAGCTAGCGCCTTTATTTCTTCCTACTCGACGGCATCAATAATCTCTGCGCTACCCTCGCCCCCATGACAAGAAATTAGGTATAAAAAATATGAACAACAATATGACTATTAAACAGTGGCAATTTAAAGAGAAAGGGAGGACGCTAGTAATAGTGAAGCACCTAAGTAGTAAATGGGCAAAAAAAGCGACTAATTTCGAAAGCGACTTCATTGCATACTGCCTTGAAGTGAGTCGTAGGACCACAGAAATTATAGCCAATAGCAAGGAGTCCGATCATCTTACTTCCATTGATTAGTCGAAAAAGTAATCGCCAGAGTTGATGTCAACGTCATTCGTCCAGTATTTGTGGATAAAAGTGTACATATGTCCTTCATCAGAAAGCGCAGCGTCTGATTATGAAAGTCATTAGAAAGAAAGAAACGAAATAAACCTTAAAAGCCAAAACATAGTAAGCGAACATGTCACATGCTGCTCGAACCAATTGCACCGTTCGTATTTAATTCTAGGCCCAGCTCATTTTTCATGGTGGTCATAAAATTTGATTCTTACAAACTCTATGGATAAATCAGAAACTCTGTGGATGAAGTAGAAGTGCGGCGGAAATAGTCGATCTAAAGGTGTACTGAAGCCATCTTGGTGTTTTAAGGTACTGGTCATCTAGCCATCTATGTAATGAGGCAGGAGGTCGTTTAGATAAGCACTGGCATTTTTTTTGCTCGTAAACGGATATCTCGTAAATTAACCATCTTTGGTGGAATCTAGGACTTTTCTGGTTCGCAAGAAACTTGCAGAACTCTTCATAGACCAAATAATCACCCTTGCTTAGTCTTCGTTTCCATTTGGAGATCACTGGTTAAAAGTAATTGAGCAGAACTTACTAGTGGTTAATAAAATGGGAAAATTTACAGACCTGGTTGCACTGGACGACTTTAGCGAAGGCGCCATGGAAAACTGGGGCATGATAACGTTTCGTGACTCTGCACTACTTTATACCGATGCTACAACCAGTGTGCAGAATAAGGAGCATATTGCTCTAGTTATCTGTCACGAAGTTGCCCACCAGGTTAGTCAATGGAGGGCTAATTTCCTTCCGGATAATTTTCTTTAAAATGACTGAAGATATTGGATGTTTTTAAAGTACTTCGCACAAATAATGTTCTTTCGTTGATTTTTGAAAACTGCAGAATCCTTGAAGTTAAGGAACTTCAGACAGGGTTTCAAGCAAGTTATGCGAAATGGTCAGTGGTTATGTAAAGAATAATATTTAATGGTTGTCGATGGAGCTGAGGTATGTTTTGTTTTTAGTGGTTTGGTAACCTGGTGACGATGGACTGGTGGAACGATTTGTGGCTAAACGAAGGTTTTGCCAACTATATGGAGTTTCGATGTGTTGATCGGTTGTTTCCTGACTGGAATATTGTGAGTAACATTCACTGGGTTGATTAGTGCTGTAGAGGATCCATATAGTTGATTAATGCGAATGTTTCTTTTGCGAAATCATCGAGATAGTTTTTAGTGCAGCATGTCCTTGTAAAGAAATCGCTAGATCTTTTTCATAGTAGACGAGCGTTCTGTCGGTGTCGAAGGGAATATTCGACCGAACTGATGCTGTGTTGCAGCCATGGAGCAGCCATAGGAGTGGCTACGACAAAAGCGCTGTAGCACTGCGCTATCAGTTTTCAGCTTTATAGTATTTCACTGCCTATAGATTGTTCACTTCGCGTTTTGAGAGCTGGATTTTTTGAAGTTGAAAATTTTTGATAGCTTCATCGAGTACTACGCTTGATAGGACACAGTTACTTCTAAGTCGATTTAGTTATGTTGAAAAATTTCGCACCTCACAAGAGTTGCAATGGTGACATTGTATGCCTGCTCATGGATAAATTTTCAAAAATGAATTTGAGAACAAAGATTATTGGTACTGGATGTAATCAAAGGAGAATATTCTTTAAGATGACACGATTCTATGCAGAGAACGTGGCGCTAAGTCACGAACTAGATGGACTACGCAGTTCACGCGCCATATCGAGTCATATCTTCAACCAAACGAATATCATGGGACTGTTTGATGCTATCAGTTATCACAAGGTGAATATATGGTTATGAAATTAGTACAAGGAATAAATGGTTGGCATGTTGGAACACAACCCTCATAACCACCCTCATAACCATAACCATGAGGGACTCGCGTTTCTTTTGTACGAGCACAAAAATAGAGCTGTGAAGATTTCTGTAGTGCTACAATGAATAGCTTTCTTATGAACTGATACTTGATTTGGAAAGGCGTTCTTAACGAGTTTTTCTACGGAAGTTTCCTAAATACCAATGGTCTCGAACTCTTTGAATATAAACGTTCATTAGTTTGTCTCTTTTTGCAACAATAGTACCATCCAGGAAGCGATTACGCGTTCATCCTAAACTCTTGTATCCATTTATACTCGAAGGTATGGTTTTCCATTAAGTTTCAAGTGAAGGATTGTCTTTGAAATGTCGTCGATCGGAAGTTGTTCATCAGCTTCTGACCACGCATTCGACGGCACTCACCGAGAGAAGGGTTTAGCCTCCTCAGTACAACAACAATATTTCAGGCGTCCGCAATTATACGAATGTTACAATCGTTGACTGGTGAACGGAATTTTCAACGATCGCTCATCCAGTACCTCAACAAATACGCGTACGGTAACGCTAAAGGTTCACATTTGTGGGAAATTGTCGAAAAGGTTCGAAAATGTTGAAGTGCTTGGTCCTTTTAGTGGTTTTGAAGTACCATGCTTTTTTCTGCATTGTCTTCTTTCATGTTTTAAAAGAAGTACATGAGAAGAGTATATGTATTTCGAGAGTAAGATAAGGGATTGAGCAAATTGAAATGAAGGAAAGAAGACCAGAAAGTAACTCGAGTTATATCCCATCTGGTGCATAGTACTTTCGATTTCAGCACGCCGTTCTTCCTCACGGAATTTCCATTCAAAGCCTGGCAAATGCATATATCAAGCAAGTGGGATGTCCGGAGATTTTTGTCACATTGTCTGACATGGAGATCGTTGTACACAGTCAGGTCAGTAAAGTGGTGTTTTGTGGTTTTCGGCGGAAGGGATGATGGCTGAGAAGACCCAACAAGGTTCCATGATGAGGTTCAGAAACCGGAAGCACGACGCATTGTTTTGAGCTATGAGCTGGAACAATATGGTTTTGTTCATCAATCCTAAGCCTATGTGAAACTTGTGAATGGTACCTGGATAGTACGCCTTGAAGGGAGTAGTACAAGCGCGAATATTTTCGTTTTGACTGATAATTTGGTATTTGCTACTTCTCCATTCCCATGATCACCGTTACGTACCGTCTGCACGACGTAACTGGGAATTAAATATTTGAACAATGGAAAAGAAATCGCTGATGAAGAAATGAAAAGTACAAAAATATATTAAAGGGAATAATAGTTCTTGAGAGTCAGGGTTTGTACTTCATGCGATCTCAGAGAATTTTCTAAATATCTAGACTCGCCATTTTCTTGACGATGGAGAGCAAGACAACACCGAATGGCCAATTCCTATATATTATCGAACCGACTCCCAAACTGAGTCACGATTGCAATGGATGAAGGTCGACCATAATAGGAGTAAGATTTAATACATACACGATCATCGTTTATTTGGCAGAGAGCTAAAAAATCGTTAACTTATCCGTGATTTAAATACGCCAAATGCTAGTTTATGAAAAAAAAGCAATAATTTTCGACTGTTAGACAGCTTACGCAAGTGTGGCGCAGTGGTTGGATGCGCCCTTCGACACACACGTGGAATCAATCCCATGACCCACCAAGTCTTCCATCCCTTCGGGGTCAGCAAATTGGTGGTAGACTTGTCTGGGAGGTTGGCAGCACTGGTTCGATACATCGGTGGGCCACCGCGAGTCAATGTAAAGGCCAGATATGCATTCAATCACCTTCAAACGATACTTAATGAAGTCGAAAGCATGGCTCATCCCTCAGGGATTGATCAACGCCGAAAGTTTTATCCTTTATCTTTTAGGAAGCTTAAGGATTAAAACACACCGCGGATTATAAGAGAGGCTTTGCTTTATCTAAGTAGAGGTATAACGATGGTACTATGTACTACATTTTAATATATTCCTTCCGTCAAAGACTTCTAAAATTTTCCACAGTAAATTTTCCATTACACGCTATGGTGTAGAATAGTAGCCTAGTGAGTTTTGCTCGCTTTAGTGATTCGTTGAACATCACATCCTTTATCTAGGGTTTTCGTGATTGACCACTGGATCGGTGATCATTTTGCAGTACGTTTGACATCCCGAGGAATTCGATCACTAACGGCTTTTGTCCATCTGTTGTCGTTCATTCGCATTACATGTCCGGCCCACTTTATCTTCGACAATTTGAGTGTAGAACGCTGTCTTTGATTCTTGGTTGCTGATGGAAATCCGAGCTACGGATCTCTTCTCTCAGTTGTGCGATACGGGATACTCCTAGCATCGTCTTTTCGACTGCGCCTTTAATAAGGCTTAGTGATCTTTCATCCTGCTTACGCAGCGACCAGGTTTCTGACGCATACGTTAGGGCAAGAAGCACCGTTGAGTCGAAAAGGTGGGCACGTAGTCGGATGTTCCTTGCTCTGTTCACTACTCAAGGCTTTTGAAAGCTCCCCAAGCTACTCGTTTCCTTCTGCTCAGCTCTGGAGCTAAGTCGTTCATCATATTGATTTTCTGACCTAGACAGACATAACAGGAGCATTCGGAGATATTCGTTCCATTGAGCGTGAATGGGGCTCTAGCAATGGTTTGGGGCCCACATCGTGGCTAGGAGCTGTTCCTGGGTGTCCAGCTGCGATGTACAACGGGGGTCATTCGCAGATGGGGTCTCTCAACCTGTGAAGAAGTTCAGTTTTTCCATCAGGAATTCTAGATAAGATCAAACCAATAACGGGATCGACCAGATCGATCTTCACCGGCTTTGTCAAAGTCGACGACCATTCGTTTCGTTTCGCTAATGTTTGGTGTTATAAGAACGACGTCATCAGCAAATGAAGATAATGTAGTTACTGTGCATCGTTTTTTACTCTAATGTTTTACCATTACAATGCTCGTATGACGTTTTCGAGGATGGCGGTAAATAATTTTGGCGAGATTTTATCGTCTTGCCTAACCCCTCTTTTGACGTCGATGTTAATATTGTTGTGGGATGAAGATATTCTCCAATGGGTGAGGGCGAAAAGTCGAGCCGAATGACTTTAAGATAGACGTCTACTAGCTTTATGGTAGAGGCGATATTGCTCCAACAACGTCGACTTCGCATTTCATTGAAGATAGCGGTGTTATGAACTCGAAAAGTGGAAACTATGTGTGGGTTTCTGAGATATTTGCAGAACTCCTGACCGCTGGTGTCTGCGGCGGTGCCGAGCACGCTGCTAGCCTTTCCGGGTGGTTGCTGACAACGTCTATTTGTCAACAACACCGCTGAGAGACAGGCGAAGCAAAAGACTCACATGGTGTGGTGGTGAACTCGTTAGCCCTCAGAAGGGCTAATATCGTGTTCAGTCCCCACCGCGGACACCGGTAGTCCGGAGTTTTGCAAATATTTCAGCAACATTACAGTTATATTACACAATACCCTGCCATTAAAAATTATTGGGTAATGAGTAGAAATTGGCGATATGTGTGGGTCATTACTGGCCATTAAACAAAGCGCAATAGGAAGCACACTGATGTACGTTCTAGAAAGGTTAGCAGTAGATGCAACCGTTTTTACGAAACATTACTTATTTACTTGATACTTGAATGGCCCGTCCTCATTGGTTGTGCGGGTCCCAGCATAATCTCCATTTTTCGGAGATTTGCTGGCTAAGCCATTATGGTTCTTTGGAGTCCCGAGGTCGGCTGGCCAAAGTTTGCCCTAGGTCTTCATCACCACAGGTAGTTGTAGCCGTTGTTGATCAGAGGGAGATTTACCACCATTGGACTTTGGTACCAAGGCTGTGGTGGATTCTGGTATTGATTTACTTTCAGCTAGGCTTCCTGATGGAAACACAGGACTCCTTCTCAGCTTGGGAGACCCTGCCAAGAGTTGAATCCCCCGCTGTACATCGCAGTCCGACTTCCAGAAACACTTCCCAGCCAAGATGAGGCGGTAAACCGTTGGGAGGTTTACGTATGGCTTACGTTTGCGAAACACTACTGTTTACAATGTTTCAATAGATAACGTATGATGTGTACATCACCGGTGTGATCTTCAATGTGAAGACTATTTATTTTTGGCAAGAACTGTAAGGTTCAAGCGAAGATTGTAACTGCTTCCGAATATATAAGGATGATTTTTTTTGATTTTCGGAAAAAATAGAAAATGTTGATATTACTAGCGTTGTTGAATTTTTTTTCTGTTTTTCGAGTGACCCGTCTCACATCTACTGTGTAGATCCCCGAAATTCTTGAATTGATTCGTTTTCCTCGCAATCATCGTCCACAAAGGTCTTCCGACGTATTTCCTGTTGACGGGTGATTGCTGTTAGCACTATTAGATAGAACTAGCTGAGAGATAGGCGAAACGAATGACCCGCATGGTGTGCTAGTGAACGCGTTAGCCCCCGCGAAAGGTAGTAGCGCGTTTGTTCCCCACCGCAGACACCTTCCGTCCGGAGTTTTGCGAATACGTTAGCATCATTGTGGTTGTATTTTGCATCATATCCTGCCGCGAAAAAAATTGCAGTAGGCAGTAAATAAAAGTTAGCAATGTGTTCATTATTTCGGCTGCTGCTTAAGGTTTTCTTCTTCTTCTGGAAATGTAGAGTGGTGATCGAATCGATTTTTTTTGCAATATTGGAGATAGCCGAGCTAGGGTGCTCCTACGTGGATTGGAAGAGAGCGTTGGCGAGGGAGTCGAACCAGCACCACCTTGCTTCCTGATCGACTGCCCCACTAACCATTCCGCTCTCCCACCGTTATCGTTACTAGTAATTATTACTAGGTCATGTGATGTAGGATATATACGTATATCGCATATATGCATACTTCATGTTGCAAATATTGTGATACAATTTTTTCCACTTCTGTTCAGCAAACACGAGGTACTATTTTATTTGTTTATTTACGTACAAGCTAACGTTTCGGCGGATTTCGCCTTTCTCAGAGCCGCTTTCTGTGAGTCTTCCACTGAGTGTGTCGTGTGAAGACCAACCGCACAGAATTCACATGGAAGAGTAATGTCGTACTGTGATACAAATGTAAGGTGAAAAGATCGCTTGGTGAGTTTCGAAAGACAGACTGTTTTGATCGCCGTTGATAAGCGCATTCTGTATGAACACCAAACCACTAAGGGGTCTTCTTGATGTTATGTGATCACTTATTGCAATGTGAGGTTCTTTTAAGCATCGAATCCCAGTGCTCAAGCGCAGGGATTTTTTCTGCCCCTCTTCACTGCTACCCTTGCTGTTTATGCCGCACGCTCTTTTCAAGTACAGTAGTCTTTCGTCACAAATTGGTCTCCGATGAGGATTTTTTCCGCAGTTTATTGGGTGTAAAGAGTAACTTTCATGCGTTACTGTTGTTATGGGATCAACGTTTGATGATGTTTCTATCCATAGAATACAAAAACTGCAGTGGAAAACCTCTGTAAATCACAGAAAATACGTGACACGACAGTATCATGTGGTCGTGCGTGTGTTAATGGTGGACTGGAAATCAGTAGTGGTCGTAAATAGCTTGGTAAAGCAGATGATCATTATGAGAACAATTAAAGTACATTATGACTAAATAAATAATTATAAGAACAAGAAATAGCTTTTGTACAATAAAGGACAAAGGATAACGAACCCGGCGTTGATCAATCTCTGACGGGATGCTCCATGCAATCGACTTCATTAAACATCGTTTGGAGGTGAATGAATGCGTATCTGGCCTCTACAATGACTCGCAGTGGCCTACCAATGTATCAAGCCAGTGCTGCTACTCTCTCAGACATGTCTGGTACCAATTTACCGATCCCGGAGGGATGGAAGGCTTTGTGGGCTACAGACGCAGGGTTCGATTCCACATGTGTGTTGCAGGGCGCCTGCGACCACTGCGCCGCACGCACCCCTATTTGTATAATATCCCTCGTAAAATAGGTTTACAATAAGTCTATAACACGACAGTACCAGAGGAGCTACTTCTTTGGCGAAAAATAGTACAAACAGAGAACTTTATATGAGAAGTGTAATGTTTCTTCCGTCTTTTTCAAGTGGCAGTAGGTAGAATAGAAACCCATTAGGTACTTTAGAAACAAATGGAGGCTTTTCGTTGCTTTTTAAACTACGTTCCGCCTTCCTTTGTAGATCACTGACGAGATTAGAGGTGGTACTAGTTGGTAAAATAGGCAAATGATTTCTTTTGTCTTCTTAGTTTCGTGGACATTGTGATTTTCACGTTCGGACTGAAGGATTTTGTACTAATAAGGTTCAAACGAGGGCGCGTGTGGTGCAATGGTTGGAGGTGCCACTGCGAAACACATGGGGAATCGGCCTCCGCGCCCATGGCCCACCAAGCCTTCCACCACTCTTGGGTCGGCAAATTGATACCAGACTTGTCTGGGAGGATACCAGAACTGGTCGACACATCGGCGGGCCACCACGAGTCATTTTAAAAGGCCATATATGCATTGAATTACCTCCAAAACGATACCTAATGAAGTCGAATGCATGGCGAATCCCTCAGGGATTGATTAACGCCGAGAGCTTTAGAGAGCTTTAAGGTTCAAATCACTCGAAGAAATGGTGTTTAATTAAACGATGGTACGCGTGGTTACACAGTAATACCGAAAATGTGTAGTAGATTAGTGGCTGCGTGATCTCTTGCGGGTACAGTTGTGGTCTCTTGTAAAGCGTGCGGGGACGAATACATTGGTGAAACGGGTAGACCACTCTGCATCCGTATAAAGGAACAGTTAGTCGGTGAACTTAAACCAAATACTCCACTAGGCGTGCACATGGCATAAAGACATAACGTGGAAAATGTTGAAGTAGAAGTTAACATCCTCGAACAGGAATCGGAAACACCAACGCGCAAAACTCTGGAAGCATTCTGGATACGTTCTAGGAATCCGAAAATGAACTGCAGGGAGGAATGCCTCATAATCGTGACTCGTGAACTCACCCTGTATTTAAGGCCGATATTTTAGCGTGAGAAGCACATTATGCTTCCATGTTGACTCTGTACGATTGCTCTCTACGTGAAATACTCAGTGGAAGACTCATAAAAAGTGGTCACTTTGCGAAAAAGCTATTCTGTGTCCAATGTGATTGAAATCTTGGTTCAGCGTTTTCGTTGTTTGGTCGTGGAGGCGATTGGCTGGGTACATTGGTGTCAACTTGACCTTTCCAGGCTCTGAGGAAGACGAAATCCGTCAGCTTATTTATAAATAAAGTGTAAAACAACAACCTCGTGCTTGCTCATCAAGAGAGCAGTGAATTATGCGGTTAGTGCCGAGGTCAATAGAAAGTCAGTCGTGGTCATTACTCATTGAATTGTAGCGAGAGTACAAGAGACAATCCAATGGGATACTCCTGGGGCGCCTGGTTAAATGGAAACGTTAACGTTGCCCCACCCCCTCTAGCTAGTCACTTGATGATCGGTCGTATGGCAGGTGGTACAAGTGGTCATATCGAAAAGCCTTCCCTAAGTGTGCAATTCTAGAGTTAAGCTAAAAGCATTTACAAGCACCTTCACAAAAAGTTTTTGTGGGGCATGCTTTTTTCGCAACAACCTTTCCCTGCAAGATTAATCCGTCCGAAGAAGTGTCTTTTCCAAACTGTCATGCGTCAGCAGCTTATTACAGGTCTGACATAACATTTCTGCCGAGCGATTCGATATCGACTGGATCTGAAGATTGCGATAAAAAAGCTATGTTTAGCATACAAAAAAAGGTGCATAGGATGTAGTGCACATTGCGCGATCTGAGCTACTCCACCCACGCATGAGGGACGTACCTTTAACATCGTAATATGTTGATAAATCAATATAAATAATCGAAAATAACCAGCTGGAAGACTTTGCGTTAGCTAAATCACTTTCGTCATTATAGGATTCAACATATCCATAAGCCTCCATAAAACACTCCGACAGTTTCAGTAAGTTGGCCTTTGATGAAGAGTTCAAAGTGGGTGGTGGCGAACACGGACGGCTTGAGCTACGTGAAAGTGCTGTATGACAGGAAAAACTATGCCGAACTTACGAATCAACTGCGAATTAATCATACGGTACGTGAGCAGAGAATTGGTCTACCGATTCATAACAACATTCTTCGATATCTAGATAAACTTAGAAGGCTTAATATTGAAAATAAAATTATTAATTGCAGTGCAGCATCTTGAAAAGTATTTAGTCTTTTCGTTTTGTCTCAGATAATCAAAGAACATCTTACGAAACAATATCTTATAGAATGTAATATATTCTTTAGTCGCAGCACACAAGCGTAGTGGTTAGAGGCACCTTGAAAAACATTCTTGGTTCTTAGTTCTATCGCGCACCCCCTGCAAACCACGCGTTCCACCTCATCGCGGTGGATAGATTGCTACCGCACTTGCCTACGAAGATAAAAAGACTGATTTGACACATTCATAGCTCCAGTAAACCATTGTATAAGCGAAATATGCAACCAATCTCCTCCATGGTGCTTAACGGAGTCGAAATCATGGCGCATTGTGTAGGGATTGATCAACGCCAAACTTCTTATCCTTTATCCGATAATATTATTGCATTTTATTCTCTACGTCAAAAATTTTTGTATCGGGAAATGAATATGTGGATAGCAATGAGATTTTTTTTACATAGCCTGTCATCTCATCTACTGTACAGATCCCAGCACTTCTTACGTTTGATTCGTTTTCCTCGCATTCATCGTCCACGAAGGTCTTCAAATATTTCGGACTGTTTCAGCTGCTGTTTGAAGATTTTGTCTCCTCACGAGTGCTGTAGAATGCTCGTGGGGTCACTTTTTTTCAAGTCCTGGAGAGCCGAGTTGAGGCGCTCAGATGTGGATTGGAGGAGAACGTTGGGGTGTGGGTCAAAGCTGCATCCTGCTTCCTGATGGGCTTCATCTCCAAACAATGCGCTATTCCTTTCCAGTTATGAGATTATAGTAATGATTGCAAAGTACTTTGACGGCGTAGGTGGAATAGCCATCGGGCTTCTTTCCCACTGATGTACATTAACTAAAATGCACTGATGCGAAAGCTACCAGCAGTGTGAATGTTCCAGTCTTTGATCGACACCAAGACCATCGTTTTTTCATCAAGCCGTTCAGAGTGATGTTTTCGGCAAGAAGGCAAACATGGATAGCTTTCCAACCTTTCCTAATAGTAGGAATGCTTGAAAGTCGAATTTAGACCATCTTTCTTATTGATTCTTAGCAATTTCGATTTCTGGTTTTTAGCTAAAGCAGCAGAGTGCGGTATACACCCAAAAACACCTAGGCCAATTTGGCGTTTCACAAATAGAGAACTAATTTTCTGTTCGTAGCAACGTGCTAGAGTGACTAAATGTTCGGTTTTGGTCTGACTTCCACTTGTTATACAACGAACATGTTACTGCGCCAATTAAGCTCACAATCAATTTGCTTGAGAGCCAATGAGTTGATAGGTATCTTTTTCTAAATGAATCGATATTGAAGGCTATTTCGGTTATCGATCGAACAATGATCCTCGTTGATGCTTTCGATTTCTCAAAATCATCGAAACTTAACATCGAGGTGTATCTCAATCTTCTATTATACGCCACAGGTTTCGTCTTTTTGCCATATTGATAAAATATTGTTAATGGAAATGATATTTTCAATAACTGTGCAAATAAGAAAGTTCTCATTTAGAGGAGATGGATCACTTAGCGTGGATGATGATCAATAAACAAATGAAGTACATTGAAACACTCATTGAGGAAACTCCTTTTGCACACATTTTCAAGGTGAATATACTTTTTGTTCCTAAATGTAATTTACAAGGCCTTCTTTCCTTCAATGGCATCCGTGCTATAGACGTTATTCTTCTCCGGGGCTGCTGCGTAGGTCTTTTATTGTGTTATTGTGTTATTCAAAACTTGGGTGTATTCAGAGTTCATTTCCGTTCACCACTAGCTGAGAGACAGACGGAAGGAAGGACCCGCATGGTGTGGTGGTGAACGCGTTAGTCCACGGAAAGGACAATAGCGCGTTTGTTCTCCACCGTGGCCACTTGCGGTCCGGAGTTTTGCAAATATTTCAGCATCGTTGCGGTTGTAACCTAATGTGTTGTTCACACACAGTGAGCACATTGCTAAATTGCAAATCGCCGAAACTGCAGCCATCGTCTTTGAAAAAGAGGAGATATGAACTTCGCGTTGACTTAGACAAGAACAACTCGTGAGATATTATTGATTATTCATGGAGAGGTTAAGTGAAAGTCTATCTTCCGAATTTCCGCGAGATATATCACAAGTCTCAACATAGTTTAGAAATCTTACTTTAAAGAGTTTCTTCTATGCATTTATTTGTGGCTGGGTGCCGCTGCGATGTATTTATTAGGCTGTTCAGAAATAAATGAGTGTTTTAAACTATATTGTTTAAAGTGTCATAACTTGAACCACAACGTTGCTGAGATATTTGCAAAACTCTGGACCGCAGGTGTCTATGGTGGAGAACGAACGCTACTCCCCGGAAAGGACAATAGCGCGTTCGTTCCCCACCATAGACACCTGCGGTCCAGAGTTTTGCAAATATCTCAGCAACGTTGTGGTTGTATTTCGCTTAGTACTCTGCCGCGAAATTATAGTAGGCAGAAAATAAAAAGGTATAACATTGTTATAACTTGCTTCAAACAAAACTTTATCGATCATAATGGAAATCACTTGGATCAACACATTTTTGCCAACATGAGACAAATTCCAGACACCTAAAATTCTGGGCTTCTGGAAGCGATGAATTCGTTGAAGGCATTTTTTGCGCCGTCATGGTTGTTGAGGCATTTCTCGCGAAGGAAGTTGTCAAGGTGCATAGTTGGTAGGCGGGAGATCTGATGAATATGGCGGATGACGCAAAGTTTAGCGGCCCAACTCGTTCAACTTCTGAAAGGCTGGTTCCGCAACGTGAGGCTGGGCGTTTTCGTGGAGAAGAATTGATCCTATTCTGTTGCCTAGTGCTGGTCGTTGTTGTTGGAGTTTGTGGCGATTTGTAGGCAAAACTTCTCTACCGTAATTGTTTCGCCCGGATACATAAAGCTGTGATGGCCTGCTGCAGACCACGAAAGAGTCACTATAACCTTTTTTGGTAGAATTTCGTCTTTGGGAAGTGCTGTGGAGCCGGATCGCAATCAAACCACTGGGCTGAACGTCGACGGTTGTTGTATAAAATCCATTTCTCGTCGAGCGTCACAATTCGATCAAGAAAAGGTCGTTTTTGTTTCGTGGAATAAGAGTAGGCCACACTTCAGAACGACGATTTTTTGACCATCGTTTAATTCGTTCGACACCCACCTGTCGAGTTTCTTGTTTTTCCTATGCGATTCTAGTGAGTGAAATCGTTTCTTGGCTTTCGCCAAGCTGTTCTGTAAGCTTTGGAACCGTTGTTTGCGTGTTTGCTTTCACTAGTGCCTTCAATTCGTCGTCGTCAAGTTTATTAGGACGTTCGTGGCCTTCCTTATGATCGAGGTCGTAATCACCAGATCGGAATTTCTGGAACCACGTTCCTACTGTTGATTCACCAATGCTACCTCCACTCCAAACTCCATTAATGTTTTGAGTTGTCTATACTGAACTACGACCGAGTTTGAACCTATAGAAGAAAATTTGACGAAAGTTCGCTTTTGACATCCAAAATTGCAAAGCTCAAAATTGAAGGAAAACGTAACTTTTGACAAAATATAAATATACGTTAGAAGGAGCGTAAACTCACCTTTTTAGTGATATATATTATTGCTAGGTGCAAAGAATATTTTGATAGTAAAAAATCCATTAAAACAATACCTACTTACAGCCACAACGTTGCTGAGATATTTGCAAAACTCTGGACCGCAGGTGTCTATGGTGGGGAGCAAACGCGCTATTATCCTTTCCGGAGAGCAACGCGTTCACCACCACACCACCATGCGGGTCCTTCGTTTCGCTTCGTCTTTTTTTGAAGGACCCGCACGGTGTGGTGGTGAACGCGTTACTCCCCGGAAAGGATAATAGCGCGTTTGCTCCCCACCATAGACACCTGCGGTCCAGAGTTTTGCGAAATCTCAGCAACGTTGTGGTTGTATTTCGCTTAGTAACCTGCCATGAAAATTATAGAAGGCAGAAAACAAAACGTTAAACAATACCTACTTACTTAATACTCGGTACTTGAACCGCCGGTCCTTACTAGTTGTGCGGGCCCCAGGATAATCGCCATTTTTTGGAGATTTGCTGGTTAAGGCGTTGTGGTTCGTTGGAATCCCGAGGACAGCCTGGCCAAAGTCTGCCCAAGGTCGCCACCACGACGGGCAGTTGCAGCCCTTGCGGATCAGAGGGAGATTTACCATCATGCGACTTTGATACCACGACGGTGGTGGTTCCTGCTAATGGTTTACTCTTAGCTAGGCTTCCTTATATAAACCCCAGACTCGTTCTCAGCTTGGGAGACCCTGCCGGGGTGATGAATCTCCGCTGTACGTTGCAGTTTGACGCCCAGGAACACGCAGCCACAATGGGGCGAGAAACCGTTGGAAGGACGGAAGCATATTGTTACCGACAACATCAAGTACGTCAACGACTCTATGACGTAAATCGTAAAGAAAACGTGCGTACTGAGGAACATACCAAGAAGGTCGCCTTGAAATTTGGTTCATCGAAACATGGAAACATTTTTCGTGCGTAGGTCGGTTCAAATTGTGTGACGGCCGATCGCCTGAAGTGGGTGAATGGTGGAAAACATTAGTTTATTAAGCATTTTTTTAACACCGAATAAACTAAATGTGTCAAGTACTTGGATCTTTGAGCACTTGAATTGCCCGTTTCGACTGGTCGTGCTGGCCTCTAATTCCAATTTTTTGGAGTTTTCTGGTTTAGCTATTGTATCCTATTGCGTCCTACCAACGGTTTACCGCCTCATACTGGCTGGGAGGTGTTCCTGGGTGTCGGACTGCGATGCACAGCAGGGAGAGTTATCCCTCTGGCAGGGTCTCCCAAGCTGAGAAGTGGTCCGGCGTTTCCATCAGGAAGCCTTGCTAAGAGTAAACCGATACCAGGTTCTACTACCGTCCTAGTATCAAAGTCGCATGGTGTTAAACCTCCTGCTGATCCACGAGAGCTGCGACTGCCTGTCGTGGTGACGACCTGGCGCAGGCTTTGGCCAGGCTGACATCGGGATTCCAGGGAACCACAATGGCTTAACCAGCAAATCTCCTAAAAATGGTGATTATGTTGGGGTCCGCACAACTAGTGATGAAGGGAGGTTCAAGTATCAAATAGGCTATTGTATATATTGTGGTTCCCTCGAATCCCGAGGTCAGCCAGGGCAAAGTATGTCCCTGACCGTCACCACCACAGGCAGACGCCGCCCATGTGGATCAAAGGAAGATTTGCCACCATGCGACTAGTTTGGTACCAGGATTGTGGTGCATCTTGGGATTGGTTTACTCTTAGCTGACTGGGGTTCCTGATCTGATGGAAACGCGGGACTCCTTTTCAATTTGCGAGACCCTGCCAGGGGGATGAATCCCACCGCCGTACATCGCAGTCCGACACCCAGGAACACCTCCCTTCCATGGTGAGGCTGTGAACCGTTGGGAGGAGCAGACAGTAAATGGCTTGAAACACTCATTTATTTCTGAACAGCCTTATGCATCCTTTTGTCCCTAATAAGATTATCCAGGTGAGGAACTCACTCTACTTTCCTGGGAAATTATGGGATCGAATAAAAATAAATCGTTGTTGTTCCGATTTCCCACATTTAGTGGGCTGGGTTAGTGGTAAACTGTTTCAGGTGTGCTCGGAAGGGTAAGCACCATCGAATCAATATTTTTCTTAGATTGTTCGGTTTACACGAGATTCTTAAAAAAGCTTTTTTGTGCTACGTTTTGGCCCTTCGTTTTCTTCGGACCACAATGACCGGAGTTTAATTATCCACAGCCATTCATTCTTCGGATGTTCATCATCATGATCACATCCAGTCAAAAATCCAGTGGTGCAAAGATCGAATGAAGTGACCTCGTTCTCCAGAGCTCTTTTATACATAACAAACGGATGAACCCTGTGTCCTTTTACGGACGGACGAATCACTGCTGAGTGAAGTTGCTTCATTTTGGCAGTTCTCCAATGGATTCGACTGAATCCGATCACGAAGATCCAATGTCTATCTCAAGGACAAATGGCTGTGGAGAATCGAGTCGGATCATCACGGCTTTGAAGAAGACGAAGGCGCTGAAAGGTTGACGGAATAAACATTTGTAACGACTTCAACAACTGCGTGCTCAGTAATCTGCGAGAAAAAATTGACTATTAATTATGAGCCTGAATAAATGTGGGTTTTAGAAAACTGACTACACAGATCGGTCGACCTCGCCAAGTTATTGTACAGACCAGTTATGCAGTCAATAACTTCTTATACAGGATTGGTAAACGCGAAATAATTTATCCTTTATCTTTCAATACTTATAATGTGTTTAAGATGGCATTAAACAATTCACTGTTCTCTTGATGAGCAAACGCTAGGTTGTTACTTTATTCACGACGACATTAAAGCTATTCAATATCGCTATGACTCTTATTACTTCTGAGATGGATGAAATCAATATCGACAGAAACTTTACCATTCAGATTTTTCAACAATGTCGTTGATTTTGCTAGAGTCAAGAACTAAAATATGCATTAGAGTTCGGTGGGTGTCAGAATAAAATCTTCAGGACCTTCAAAGAACGTTAATCCTTCGACCGTATGAGAGGGTTGGTTGGAGCACTAACACATCAATGACGCCGGCTCAGAAGGGTTTGCAGGTATAAAACATTTATACATTTGCCACATAAACTTCATTGTTTTTATTCTAACAATTTTTCTAGTTACCTTAAAGATTGAACTTTCCCTTTAAAGGCTGAAGTGATTGGAACTGCTTGCCGTTTGAGGAATAGGGATTGTGTAAAGCAGGCTCAACACCGATACAATGAATGGGTCATCAACAAAAAGAGGTTGTCATTTTATATCGAAAATTACTTGAAAAGCAATCTTTCGCTTTTTCATGTATAACGGGCGGTTCCTAGTTTAGTAGTTATTTAACTGCTTTGGTGTTAGGTTGATAAGGTTTCTCCTAGGGTAAGAGAAACACTTTTTAAGGCCTCTCTAAGTTTCTTCAATGTAGAGCTGTGGGACAAAGAGTACCACCTTGGGATCAGGTTTCTTTAAAGAGCACAGCCATTTCTAGCACACGTTGTCTCTTGGAGGTTTGACTGAGTTTCCCAATGGAGACGTCGGTCACCACAGTCTGGATGTGCCACGTCGACTATGAATTAGCCTTCTGTGTTGCTTTGCAACTGGGCATCTAGGAATCCAATAAGATCTCTGCAGTTTAGTCATGTTTAGGCCGTCACCTGAACTTCTCGGTGTGATTTTGAATGAAGGTGTTAGTCAAGGAGGTCGTGCCGCATGGGACAGAGCTTACACTGCCTATCAGGAAGCAAAAAGTCCGACGGAGAAGAACCAACTAATTTCTGCCATGGCATCTACAACACAATCAACACTGATTTCTCGGTGAAGCACTTCAATTTTACACATATAAATACATGTATATATATATATATAAATAAAGCCCCTACTAACCTCAAAGGCTCTTTTTTGTTCCAAGTTTAGTTTTTGTCTCAACATCCTTCTGGTTCTGTTTCACATATTAGCATGCCACGAAAAAAGAGCAAGCAGCAAATAAGAGTTAAACGTGATTTCGACTGCAGCTTCAGCTCGATGAGGTTCAGTGCTGCTTTATACTTCCCGGATCATTCCTATTGGTAGATGATTGCCGATTTCACCATTTGCGTAAAAAACTGGCCGATAGAAATGCAAAGCAAGGGTCTAGCTTGGTGTGGTGGAGAGCATTTGATTTTCTGGAAAGAGTAGACGCTAGTTCGAAGCCCAACTGAGGTTCCGAGTTTTTCTCATATCTCAACACTCTTGTGGCTGTATGTCATATCATACACTGCCATAAGAAAATAGTGAACGAATAAAAGTTGAACTCACATTGTTTTAACGTTTTTTGTCTGCCTTCTATAATTTTCATGGCAGGTTACTAAGCGAAATACAACCACAACGTTGCTGAGATATTTGCAAAACTCTGGACCGCAGGTGTATATGGTGGGGAACGAACGCGCTATTATCCTTTCCGGGGAGTAACGCGTTCACCACCACACCATGCGGGTCCTTTATAGAAGAATTATAGAAGGCAGAAAACAAAACGTTAAAACATTGTGATTTCAACTACAGCCATAGCTTAACTGGGTTCTATGCCGATTTGCGCTCCCCAGATCAACCCCGCTGACGGGTGATTGCTGTGGCAAAAAGATCGATAGAAATAGCTGAGAGACGTGCGAAACAAAGGACCCGCATGGTGTGGTGGTGAACGCGTTACTCCCCGGAAAGGATAATAGCGCGTTCGTTCCCCACCATAGACACCTGCGGTCCAGAGTTTTGCAAATAAAAGTTGAACTGTTTTTCGTTTTCTTTTAAAGAGTGCCTCATAGTTTTTTGCCTTTGCCTCACATCAGTTAACCACTTCCAGTTCAAAGTCAAGCTGATCGTGAATTTTGCTCAGGATCTTTAGTTACCGTTTATTTATCTATATAACTTCTCTATATCTACAAAAGCGTTTTGTATTTCGTTTGTCGTCCATAGGATTCGTGTGTTTCCATACCATCGGTAATTAAGCAAACACTTGCGGATATTCACATAAATATGAACAGAATAAAGCATTACTACCACAACGATGCTGAGATATTTGCAAAACTCTGGACCGCAGGTGTCTGCGGTGGGGATCGAATACGCTACTACCCTTTCTAGGGCGAACACCTTCACCACTATACCATACAGATCCTTCGTTTCGACTTTCTTTCGGCTAGTTTTCTATCTAACAGTGCCATCAGTAATCGGCCATCAACGGGTGTGATCTGGGGGCACAAATCAGCATTGAACTCGGTTAAGCTGTGGCTGCAGTCGAAATTTTATCTACTGCCTACCACAGTTTTTTTACGACATTGTCGATTTTCGTGCATGGTGTGGTGGTGAACGCGTTAGAACCCGAAAAGGGTAAAATAGCGTGTTCGATCTTTCCTACAGAGTAACAGACACCTACGGTCCGGAGTTTTGCAAATATCTTAGCATAATTGTGGTTGTATTTCACGTAATACCCTACCTTAAAAAATTGTAGCAGGCATTGAAATAAAAATCAACATTTTAAAACATTACTGGTTTTGCTGTTACTAAAATCTTCACTTATTTATTATTAGTTCACTAGAATTTTTTTGCATACCGTACAGTTCCTTTATTGGTATTCGTCGTTCTTATTTCGAAATCAGTTCAGGTTGTTACGCCTTTGCCTCGACGGTTCGTCATTTCGACCGAACACCATTCCTCGGGTCCTGTCTGAACTTTCGAAGACCAGCGTTACCAGAGCACTTGCATGGCGCTTCTTTCGTGTCAACTACAAGAATTTCGTGAAAATGTACGTCTACAATATCCTTCTTCTGTATGCATTTGCGTTAAGGTTTTTTATTACGAAATTCTTCTATACTCTTAAAATGATGTAGGAATTCATCTACACGTATGAGCCTTTTTTTTATCCGACTGGTCTTTCACACTTCCTGTTCGGATCCCAGCACTACTTGCATTCGTTTCGTTTCCTCGCATCCATCATCCACCATACTCTTCCAACTTCTTTATATGGCCTCTGCTGCTGTTTGACGATGTTCATTTCATCTTTAATGTCGTAAAATGCTGGTATAATCGATTTTCAGTGGAGTTTTGAGATAGCCGGACTAGAGCGTTCTCAATTGGATTGTAGAGAGTGGATTTTTCCTAGACAAGTCCAGTACCACTTTTTCGACTCCGGAGGAATGAGGGGCTTTGTGGGCTCATGGGTGGGTCGAACCAGCACCGTGCTCTTGGTGAACTGCATACCTGCCATTGTGCTACCAACGTCCTAGAGTGACTCTTTAATTGATCCGAAGAGAAAAAAAAACGGATGAACAAGTAAAGTGGATGTTCCTTTTCTATAAATTCTGCGTTCAACAGCACAACTTATGATTGGCAGAGATCTTAGTGTTTGAGCACCTTTTCTTATTCCCAAGTCTTCAGATTTCCACCTCTTCTCTTAGGCTAGTTTGGAAGCGAATTTGTGGCATAACTGCTAAGTTTCGTCGGAGCGACGGCTCACCAAAGATATAGTTGGTCTTAAATAATAGCGTTGGATTCTACATCTACTTCGATTGCAATGCCATCGAAATGATGAATTTCTGGTTCTGAATTTCAATGTATACAACTGATAACATACAGTCGGTTCGGTGAAACCTTACTAAGCTATAGAAAGCGTGTAAAGAAGAACTGAAAAACGTAAAGGCTCTTCAAATATATACTAGTGTGAAATACAACCATAGGGATGTTGAGGTTAAGCAAAACTCGTTAGCTTGAAAGATGAACGTCGAGTCTCCTTAACGCTAGTGGTCTTTCGTCATGCTCTTCTATAGACCAAGGTTTGTACGTTAAGCTATTAGGAATCTTGGAGTCGAAAAGTTGAGCACGGAATCGTGTGTTCTATGTTCTCTTCACTACATCCTCGATGCCCTTGAAAATTTCCCAAGCCGTTCTCTTCCTTCTGCTCAACTTTCTAGCTAGTCTTTCCTCTTTCTGACTTTGCGATCCAGTATGGTAAATAGTTGGGAAAATTGGTTGTCGATTTTAATACTTTACCTTTCATTTATCAATTTCGAATGATTGTTAGTAAATGCGCAGTTGGGAATTACTAGTGAGGTGCCCGTTGACTCGTGGCTCCTTACACTTCGTTAACAACAATAATCAACCGTTTTTTTTAATCATTATCAACTCTAGCTCATTATTGTCGATTCTCTCTTATCACTTTCGTCATAATGATTTAAACTATATAGGTTTGGCGATGGATCCAACCTTTTGGTCAGCAGTCTACGAGCAATGATCGACAAACTGAGCACTCAGGAGGATCTGGAAGAAGTGAAAGCATTCCTCAGCGACAAACGTGTTTGTTTTGTTATTATTACCAGTATTATTGGTTACATTATGGTTATTCTTGCTGTTTATTGTTATTTAAAGCTTTTCGTTAGAGTATATATTTATAGTTTCCCAAAAGGATATGTTTATATTTGTACACCGTGCTTTATTTATGATTGCACAGGTACCAAAAATAATGGTGTTCTACATAATTCTTGATAGCACAAAGCGAAAGGACTGAATAATGAGATCACTAGATAAAACCGTATAAGAAAATAACATAAAGTAGAAGGATAAGGCTGTCGGCATCGATCAATCCCTAAGGGATACATCATATATTCGACTTCATTAATGTTCACTAGAGGTTATTGAATGCATATTTGGCTTATAAAATGACTCGCGGTGGCGTACCGATGTGTCGGACCAGTGCCGCTACCCTCCCAGACAAGTCTCGTACGAATTTGCCGACCCCAGAGGGATGGAAGGTTTGGTGAACCAGGGGCGCACGATTGGACCTATGTGTATTGCATGGCACCACTAGCCATTGCACGACAAGCACGTCTTTAGAAATATAAAGAAGTAGGAGAAGTAGATAGAATTGCACAAAGAATGGTATAAGGAATATTGATGGCATGATGCGTGGCACTAGTAAACACCCATAGAATTTCTCATTTCATGAAAATCGAGTAACTGAATAATTTTTGGCTCATAGGTTCTGGGAGCTGACGAATTAATGGTTCGTCATAGTTTCATTCATTTTGGTCACGGACAGGTTCCACTGCAAAGAGCCCGATAGCTATATATAGGCAAAGCTACCACCTAAAAACATTAGTGATCGTTTACTTTATTTTTTCAATTATGTGCTTTATTCTAATGAAGTTCAGTTCTATTCCATCCGCTTTTTAGTTGGAACATAACAATCATCGTCTAAATCAGATGTTCGACCAAATCGAACTGAATATCCAATGGAGACGGCTGAACGAAGAGCCACTGCTACGGTGGCTTCATGATTGGGATGAGAAGCGCCGAGTGGTCAATCGTCGACGGAGACACCATTATCGTCGATAATAGATGCATCTGTGTTGCTCATGATATTTCGGGTTCTCAATAACCTTCTGATCATCACAACTCGATGCTTTCCCATTCACTTTACTAGCATTCCACCATATCCGTATGCATTCTTATCTCGAAATACTCGATGCTGAAGTCGCTAGTCACTATTGATCGCCATTTGGTTTAGCTTTCTTGCTAAGTGAAATTCTTAGAATTTCAGAACTTAAGAGGTTCTCTCGGTTTCAAATGTCCTTTTCGTGCAAACTTTGAACATGTGATGACCATTCGTTGTAACGTGAAATGCACCACAGGCGGTGATATTGCGGAATTCTCTCATTCGCCTTTTGCTTTCTACTATTCTCTTTTCATAGGTATTTATGCTACATGTTGCGAAATATTTGGAATGATGTCGTTGAAGGACGAAGAAGAAGGCAAAGCGAAGAAGCTTCTAGGAAATGCTTCCTTTTCTTGAATATTAGGTGTATTGAAATGTGATGCCTTTGCTCTCCTGCAACCGTAACCCTCACTTTATCTTCAAGGAATTGTTGGCGCCATTTAGAGCAATTGGCGCCTAAAGTGACTCTCAATCAAATCGGTCAACTGTGCTCGATGTCCTTCCATTGTTGACGTGTCTCTAACGGTTTGCGTGAGAATTTCTTTGTGTAAGTGTTCTTGTATATGTTCATGAATATGTCTGTAGATGTCGTGGGTTCCAACGATTATCGATTTTTATCAGTCTTTGTAACTATATAGATGTCAGTATAAATTCTTATATATAGTCTTTTTCTGTTAGCATAGTATTAATCGCTTTAGCAATTGTTTGATCCTGTAGCACAAAACAATGACGCTTCCATATCAGTGCACAGCTTTAGCCAGGTACATTCCGAAACCACAGCTATGTAAAAAATGAAACAAAATATCTGCATCAATGCGTGCATGCGACCATTCGGTCGCTGCGGCTTGGAATCACGAGCTGCCCATGCTTTAGAGTCACTGGTTGTCGCAGTTGAACGACAGCGGTCCTTGTGAGTTAGACGAAGTCCTGTTGCTGTGATAACCCAGTCTGCTGTAATAACAATCGATAAGGGATATTTCCGACTTCATAACTTGCTACATGCTCTTTACAGAGCAATCGGAGCATAGATAAATAAGCAACCGAGGACATCAACTATTACAAGGCGATTCCCATGACCGACTTTCTGTTAACCTCGGCATTGATTGATAATTCGATGTTTTTCTTCAATAAGCAGACACGAGGTTGTTATTATAGAGTTTATTAGGATACAATAGCTGACGTTTCGGCGATTTCGCCTTCGTCAGAGCCGTTTATTTGTTGTAAATACTTAAGTTAGTTGATGGATAGCAGCCGCACAGAGTAATATATGGGCGATAACTGATACCTCTTGTAATAGTACCCAGGGTCGACTTTCTATTAACCCCGGCATTGGATTATGAATTCGTCGTTTTCTCTCAGGAATCGCGCGGTTGTTAAACAGCATACGTTTGCTTCCATACATTACTTTCCATTAGTTTCGAGAAGCCATAGATCTTGTAATTGTCGTGCAGATTTTCATCTTTCTGTTTGTGCTGTTGAAGCGTTTGACCTAATAAGTTGGGTATTAATGTGCCTTTCCAGGCTCTGAAGAAAGCGACACTGCCGCAACGTCAGGTATGGTTTGTAGTTATTGTATGGAAGTAAACATATGCTGTTCAACAACCTCACGATTGCTGAAAGAGAAAACGACGAATTTAAAAATCAATACTGCAAATTAAACAATGAATTGGTTAAAACGGCAACAGCGGCCAGATTAAAGCCATAAATTATCTCTCAACTCAAGATTAATTTACTAAGTTACTATTCAGCGATGTATCTTGTGTCTACAGTTGTTTAACGTTAGGCCTATTATTAGGTGTTCAAAAGAGATAACAGATAGAATAACATGGCTTTTAGCCCAAACAGTTACCCATTTGTTGAAATATATCCCAGCTCGTCTAACGAACACCTGGATGCTCGCAGACCGTTCACATAATGCTCGTACGTGATGGAACCGTTCGTCGTTACGTTAGACCTATTATTAGGTGTGCAGAAGAGATAACGGATAGAATAACATGGCTTTTAGCCCAAACAGTTACCCATTTGTTGAAATACATCCCAGCTCGTCTAACGAACACCTGGATGCTCGCAGACCGTTTACATAACGCCCGTACGTGATGGAACTTTTCGTTGTTACCGCTCTTTATACAAACGTGTTGAATGACTGACTATGTGACTACGTAATGCTAGTCATCCGCGAGCTCCTTATATAACACGTAGGAGCAATTGTCATGTATGGATTCTCGACTCGGCAGTTGATGACACTCTTAAAGGAGTGCCTAAAATGCTCAATCTTCAGATGGCCTGGGAAGTATTGTGCACAAATGAGAGGGTTCGCAATATGACAACGACAAGTACCAAGCCTTGCCATTCCACTCATGTCTAAGGTGGAAGCAGCACTAACCGATCCCCGGCCGTTACTCTACTGTGATATATAGATGATTGCTTCTTCATTTCCTCAGCACAAGAGGAAACGGGTAAACGTTTTGAGCTATTGAATGCAATGTTAAAGTACATTATGTTCGCCTAAGGGAAACCGAAAGAAAGTTGGCTTCCATTAGTGATCGATCAAGTTAACCTATCCGAAAACGACTGCATTACGAAATGGTACCGAAATCCAAGTAATAAAACATACTGGCTCATTTATTTATTTATATGATCTTATAAACTGATCTTCTTAAGCTGACGCGAGGTTGGTACAGATCTTCGTTGTCGTTGTCGTTGTTTTGACGTTATTGATCGATGGCTGACGTTTTGGCGACTTCGCCTTCCTCAGAGCCTGGACGTATCTTATATAAGAATACTTTAATTATTCGGTGGAAAGAAAAAGGTTAAAGTATTAATGAAGATCAAACTTTTAAATGGACCCCATACTGAACAGAAAGGCTACTCACCGTGGTGTTGCGAGTTGTCCACGTGGGGTCGCGAGCGAGGCACACCTCGGGTTCAAAATGTCATAAATAGGGCGCCAGATCACGCGTGATAGTGAGGCATTCGTCCTTCCGGTTCATCTTTGGATTTTTGAAATTTATCCAAAACGTCTCAAGAGTTTTGCGCGTTGATGTATTTGATTCCTGCGCTAGGATCCGCACATCCACTTCAAAATCATCGCCGTTGTGCTTTTGTGCCCTATACGTACCTAGAGGGGTGTTTAAACGGATTTTAGCTTTTCCATCCAGATGTTCTTTTATGCGGACACAAAGTGGTCTACCCGTTTCCCCAATATATTCCTCGCCGCATGCATTACATGAGATCAAGTATATTATACCTAAACTCATGCGATCCCGTCTCTCCCGTTAGTACAGATCATACAGTTTTCTGAGCTGCACAAACGATCATAGAGACGGTTTCGAACTAACTGGTGGCGTAGGGTATTGGGTGGGATGTCAATAATCGTTACATAATTTTCATGACCACTTTTTCTTAAGCACTTTTTAATGGCGTGACTTACTTCATTTGATATGAAGGGTAGCTTAAAGGTGATCTTACTTGCGTCCGAAACATTATTTTGGGGAACTACCCTACGTTTTCCTCTAACCTGAGTGGCTTCTACTTCGCAGCCATTGGAAATGGCTATTTTTCGTGCCAAGTTTTGCGATTCCTTCCTTTCCTCTTCTCCTGTACACACATTTTTAGCAGTACGGTACATGTTTATGACAAGTGCTTTTTTCATGTGTGAAGGATGAGAGGAGAGGCAGTGAACTAGAATGTTGTTACTACTTGGCTTGCGATACCATTTTGTTACATAGCCACTTACTGAAAGCTTTATTTGGATGTTTAAGAATGGAAGCCAGTTCTCGGTAGGTTTTTCTCGTGTAAATTTTATATACTGTGACTGTCGGTTTAATAATTCAAAGCACTCATCCATCTGCTCTTGTGTAGAACAGACGATGAAGCAGTCGTCTATGTATCGACAGTAGAGTAAGGGTCGGTGATCGAGAACTGGAGCTTCCACCTTGGACATGAAAGCGATGGCAAGGCTTGGTGCTAAACGCTGCCCCATGGCCAGCCCTCTAATTTGTGCAAAATATTTTCCAGACCACCTAAAGATTGAACAACTAAGACACTGTTTTAAGAGGGTCATTAGTTGCGCAATCGACAAGCCGTGCATTTTTATTTTCTTTCCATGCTCTACGAGCAACTCGAGAATGGCTTACATTGCGGAGTTATTGGACACGTTGGTATAAAGTGAAGTAACATCGAATGACTCCATTATATTCGTGCTGTTTGGTTGCGCGCGCCTTAGGTGGTCTGGAAATATTTTGGTGTTAGGTAGATGGGTTGTGATGAATTTTAGCAGCTGGGTTAGGATAAGGTTTAGGAACCACGTTATTCTATCCGTTGGCCCGCCTATACAACTGATGATAGGTCTAACTTTATATGATGATGGGTTCGTTGATGTAATATCATCAGTTATAGTAAGCTTATGTGTTTTAATAAGCAAGTAAAGAACAAGGCAAATCGGATGTTCCTATTTAAGTCGAGAAATAACTGAAGGTTCTAAACCTGCGGCCTTTGCCGTGCTGACCCATTCTTGATTTAATTTTCGACATCGATTTTTGTATTCCTTTTCAGAGGATGTTCGATAAAGAGAAACATCACTGAGGTGCTCCTCTCTTATCCTAATATCCAACTGACTAGGAATAACTACAAATTCTGCACTTTTATCACTGATAGAAAGTCTAATAGATTTTGAATTCAAAAGCTCTCTAATCTGGCGCGTACCACATTTTTGTTGGTGTGTGAGGTTGGAGCTTCCTTTTCGTTTTTGGTAGTGATTAAGTATGCGGAGAATTTCATCCGAAAATAAACGAAATGTAGGGTCAAAATCGCTATTTGGTAGCTCTTGTTTAAAGAAAGTTTGGGAAAAATATATTGGTGGTAGCTCCCTCCTTGGTACTACTTTACCTAAGCTATCCAGCCTAAGCCTGTAAAGTAGCTGATCTTGAAGTTCATGCAGACTAGTTCATTACTTCTGCTCTCACCTCTAACGCACAAAAAAGGCGTAAGAAACATGTTTCTAATTCACAGGAAGAGAGCGGAAGGAGGACCGTTGAATCGAAGAAATCTCTGAAACTACTTACGTCGATACTTGGACGGTCCATCTTAGGGAGTTGTGCGGACCTCAGCACGTTTGACAGTCGTTTCCTTCCCTCGCAATAGTCATCCATGGTGGCGGTTTTATCCGAGCACGGTAGTGCGTGCGAGTCTCACACCGTGATCTGTAAAACAAATGTAACTCCGAGTACAGATGGTTAACTTTGGTTATGAACAAGTACTTCCAACGTCTAGGTAGCCGTAATAGGGGTCGCCTGCTTTCTCATGGAGTCCACTTTACAGTTTCTTTCGTCTATCTGTTGTCTGTTCTTCTAGTTATGTAATCGACCTGTCATCAATGCACATTTTCCTGAATCCGAAGATGCGAGAGATTTTGAGGGTCAGAGCTGCTCATTCCAGCTAGATATCGAGAGTGCCGGTTTTATTTAAGAAGACATCGTTCAAGCGCTCTGTGAGTAATGCGGAGTATTCTTGACATGGTTGAAGTATCAGCCCACGTGTCCGCCTTATTACAAGGCGCTAGGAGGACCGTTGAATCGAAGAAATGAGCGCGGATTTTCGGATCCTTCAGTTCATCGATGGCTTTCGTGAGAGACCCGAATGCAGCTCTTCTCTTTCTTCTAATTCCTCGTTGATGTTGTCAAGGAGGGTCGGTCTGGAGAGTTTGGCAACAATAATTGAACTACACCGAACACTAAGATGCCCGCTACTTTGCAACCGCCTTTATGACTGTCTATGTAGAACGGAAAATCGCATAATTTTCTCTAACGCTAAAGACCGCAAAGCTCTCGAAGCATTCTGGATACTTTCAAGAACCCGAAAATGAGCCCCAGAGAGATATGCCTCATAATCACCTGTGAACTCATACAGGATTTAAGATTGATATTTTAATGTGAGAGGCACAGTGTTTTCATGTTGATTCCGTGCGGTTGATCTCCATGTGGCCTAGTTAGTGGAGGACTCATAGAAAGGGTGAGTGTAGCGAGGCATCTAGTCTGAGCTCAGTGTGATTGAAATCTTGGTTTAGCACGTTGGTCATCTGGTCAGCAGCTTTCATCTTGGTTTCTGTTTGGTTATGGAATTGTTTGGCTGAGTAGTTGCGGCAAACATGACCCTTCTAGGCTCTGAGGAAAGTGAAATCCATCGAAACGTCAGCTTTATTGTAAGAACGAATAAAATAACACGTCGTGTTTGCTCAACAAGAATAAAAACATTATTTGACCAATGCCGAAGTTAACAGAAGGTCGGTCCTGGGAGTTACTGAAAAGTTGCTTGAACCTTGATTCTACAGCAACACAATTAAAATCGCAGATAATAAACAATAGTTGTAGAAGACCTTTGCTGGAGGATTTACATCGGTATAGGAACAAAAAATAGTTGGGAGCAGCTCAAAACCGATCCAGTGCGAAGGAGCGCCGTCGAAATCATTACGACTACAATGTCACTCTATCCGCCTTGATGAATGAAGACGAGCCTTTCATTGCATCTTCATTGAACCTCGACCACGGTCATCCTACTCAAGAAGAGAGAGCGAAGGAATCTTCGTAACTAGTGCCAATGTGCTTGTTGAGTGTGCCTTCCAAGCCGTTCACGGCTATTATCCATTTCCGTATATCGAAGAGCTTAGGTGATGCACAACCACTTAAGCGTACAAGATTTCGCCGAAGATTCTGCTGCATGGACCACAAACAAGCCGTGTTGTTGATAACAGGAGTCGGTTGAGAGCATTATGCCTAGCCCAGAATTTTATCGGGTAGGAAAAGGCGAGTGACCGCGTCGAAGCAAATATAACCCTGTCAGCGCTAGTCGACGAAGGGTGGTTGCTGGGATCGGCGCTATAGACGTAAACGAGTTGTGTGAATAAAAAAACTGAAAAAAGCCCGTATGTATTCACCTGCCGGCTTTGCAGGTATGAAAAAGCTGTTTTCGCCGCCAAGTCGAAAAACTCTTCTTGTCACCATAGATAGCCAAAAGTCATCTATCTGTGTCATCAGTCTACTTGATACCTTATTATCTTGTGCTGTTCGCCTTCATTAAAGATGATCCAGAGCTTATTGTTTTAGAAAATGCTTATAATGTTGCTCTGAGCAGCTTTTTGAAGCGTGTTTACTGCTCACAACCGTTTTGCTTTAAAATATTAAATGAGGAGAGTAATTCGAAAGACCGACTTTCTATGAACCTCGGCATAGATAGTTGATATATTTATTTATGTGATCTTATAAACTGATCTTCTTAAGCTGACGCGAGGTTGGTACAGATCTTCGTTGTCGTTGTCGTTGTCGTTGTTTTTGATGTTATTGAACGATGGCTGACGTTTCGGCGACTTCGCCTTCCTCAGAGCCTGGACGTACTTTATGTTAGAATACTTTTTATTATTCGGTGGAAAAAAGGTTAAAGTATTAATGAAGATCAAACTTTCAAATAGACGCCATATTGAACAGAAAGGTCACTCACCGTGATGTTACGTGCGGGGCTGGCCCACGCGTTGTTTACGTGGGGTCGCAAGCAAGACACACCCCGGGGTCAAAATTTCATTTTGAAATAGGGCGCCAGATCACGCGTGGTAGTGAGGCTTCGTCCTTCCGGTTCATCTTTGGATTTTTGAAATTTATCCAAAACGCCTCAAGAGTTTTGCGCGTTGATGTTTTTTGTTTTGTTAGATGTTTTAGCGCAGGAATCAAAAACATCAACGCGCAAAACTCTTGAGGCGGTTTGGATAAATTTCAAAAATCCAAAGATGAACCGGAAGGACGAATGCCTCACTATCACGCGTGACCTGGCGCCCTATTTCAAAATGATATTTTGACCCCGGGGCGTGTCTTGCTCGCGTAAACTACGTGTCGGCCAGTCCCGCACGTAACATCACGGTGAGTGACCTTTCTGTTCAATATGGCGTCTATTTGAAAGTTTGATCTTCATTAATACTTTAACCTTCTTTTCCACCGAATAATAAAAAGTATTCTAACATAAAGTACGTCCAGGCTCTGAGGAAGGCGAAGTCGCCGAAACGTCAGCCATCGTTCAAAAACAACGACAACGACAACGACAATGAGGAGAGTAATTACTTCTATCAGTTTCACTGTTTATTACCAAGAAAAGTTTTCGTGTTCTTCCCTTAATATCTCTTTGGACTATGTGCCATGGCAAAGCGGGTTACCACAGGGGACAATACCGCAGGCTAGTGACGATATTCTCAGTTAGTCGTACGATAGTGAGAAACGCCTCAGGTATAGCAAAGATGTCAGACACGGCTATCAGAGCCGCTATTAAGGATTGCCGGGGGTGAAATGCCCTTAGTATGTGCTACGGGAAAGCGGGAAAGTGGGACGAAAAGGAGTTGCATAAAAGTCAGCTCTGCAGATTTCTAATCTTTGACTCCTGCACGTTTTTGAAGTGTTTTTCCATTTCCCACTCAGAGGCTGTTTATTTAATTTCATTTTTAGCTCCTTGTAGGTTGTCTTTCTACATGGACAATACAGTGGATAAATCTCCGAACCACGACCTACACATTCACTACGTAAATCATGACGTATGTTACCCTGTTCAGTCTTTTGCTATAGTGAAACTCACTGAAATGCTGTTGCGATTTGTTCGTTTGCAGATGGAAATCGCACAACATCAGCTTTCCGATTCGGAAATTGAGTACGAAGTTCGGAAAGATGATCCCTATCAAATAAGTATACGATTGTCTGAAGTGGAACTGAGAATTTCTCAGTATAAGGTATGGAAGAGTTTTTCCCATATTGACAGTAAGCCTGCGTTCTAGAGAATGTTTTACAGTTTTGAAGTATATACATTCCTTTTAACTATTTTCTTATTAATGTCACTGTTTAACTGTTCGTTAAGGTCACTATTTCTTTGATAATGAATAAAATAAACGAACTTGGAGTGGGTATGGACTCTGACAGTGCTATCCACACAAGTCTTGCATCGGTTTGAAATTCATTTGTTTGAAATTTTTCCCTTTCACAGTCGTGGTTTTATTGCAACTAGCTTCAAATACTTCCATTCAGGAAGTCGAAGACAGTCCGTGGAGCGGGGCTGCTAATATGGAAGAGTAACGCTGTCATCACATTCATCTTGTCCACACTAGGGAATATTGTATTGCTCTGTTTTCGTTGCAACCCATGTCATTAAGTTTTACTTGATAAATTTTTTAGTGGATACGCAGTGTTGCTTTTTGATCAGAGTGCTTTTAAAGAAATGAAAACTTTAGCGGATTATAAAGGACAAGTCCTCGTTTTAGCTCGGTTCACCATCGAACATAATCATCTACCGGTTTTTTTCGTTGGTCTCACAGAAGCTCAACTATCATTAAAGAGATGCTGAGGCTCATGATCACCACAAACTACGTGGTTGGAACGATTTGTTTGAAAGCCGTTGTGTTAGTTGACGTCCCTTGTCTTTTATTTATCCATGTTCGCGTTATTTTGTAGAGCGCTCATCCGAAATTATGAGGATATCTTTGGTCACTTAGATATTCGCACGAAACATTGCTGTCATGGAAGAATCTGGGGTATCGCAGGAGCAAGATTCCGTTCAATCCGCAAGGATCGCCGTCGTGCAACTGTGGCAACTAAATGACTCGACGACACAGGTGGCTCGGCATTCAAAGCTGCAACCACCGAAAGCTCACATACGCGCATGGGCCGAAATATTTTGTTTTTTTAACGTAGATATGCTTTACGGAATGTAGCCTGTCGAAAGTTGTGCACTGGTATAGAAGTGTCATTACTTTGAGCTGCAGGGTCATGCAATTGTTAATTCGATGAAAGTTATTTTGGCAAGAAAAGACTACATACATAGACATATATATATATATATATATATATATATATACATTTATCTAGGAATTTAGAACCAGGAACTAGGAGGCGCACTGGCTCGATACATCGGTAGGCCACTGCGAGTCATTGTAAAGGCCAGATATGCATTCAACCACCTCCAACTATAGTTAGTGAAGTCGAATACATGGCCCATCCCTCTGGGATTGATCAACGCCGAGAGCTTTATTCTTCATGCTTTTATCCAAGAATTTATGGATTTGCAACAATTAGTAAGCATCTATGTCTGGCAAAACCCAAAATACCTACAGGCACTTTCTTTAACGCTTAGGGGGTCACCTACACAAAACAACTCTTCTGCAGACCCTTTGAGCCGCGTCGACAATGGAAAAGCATCGAGGGTAGCTGACCGATGTGTTGTGGTGTTATACGAGTGACAGGGTGCTGAATGAGCCCGATTTCCTCATGATAAAGTATGAGTTTAAGGTAGCGGAAAGAAAGGGGATCACTTTAAATCATAGTTAAGACAAATGTCTCATATTTTTTTCTCGAAGAGCGTTCGAGACCCACGCTTCGACTTCTTTCCTAGTTGCTTTCGTAGAATCACGGCTGCATCTTAACCGGCCAAGCAAGACAATACAACTTCTATGCGCTGGAAGTAACAGTTCAAGTATCCTGAAATTTAAAATAGTTAGGGAAATAGTTTATATCACACACCGGCATGCGGAACAATAATCAGTATCGTTTAAGACTTTTTAGCTTGCACGAGAGTTGCTACAAAGTCTTTATTTGGCTAACATTTCGGCCACATTTTGCTCTCTTCGAAGCTGAATTCATTCAGCTCAATTTTTCATAGCTATTCCTTCTGGCGGTGTGAGCGCTCGTTGACGTACCAAGTCGTGTCTTCCAGAATGGAGCAGCGCTGGAATGAGAATTTCTTTGGACAGTGCTCGTCTTGCACTGGACGGTTGTTTATGGCTGTCCACTGATGATTTCTAAAGAAATTTCTTAGCAATCTCCTGTAAACCGAACGATCTCAAAAGATCTTGATTAACGATGTCTTGGGTGAATAATGGTCCGTTTCGTGGAGTAATGCGAACAACAATTTACTTATTTCAGGCGGTTAAAACGCCTAAAATTTTTGCAGTACCTAGTATTCTAGCCATAATCGCACTACTCACAAGTGGGTTCACCAGTGATGTAAACATTTGAAAAGCGACAAAATGATAAAAAAGCTCTGAGCGTTGATCAATCCCTGAGGGGTGCGCCATGCATTCGACTTCCTTAAGCATCGTTGGAGGTGGTGAATGTATATCTGACCTTTATAATGATTCGCCGTGGCCTACCGATGTTTGTCCTCTCAGACATGTTTCGTACCAATTTGCCGTCTCCGGAGGGATGAAGGACTTGGTAAGCCTGGAGTGCTGGGACCGATTCCACATGTGCGTTGCAGGGCGCCACCGAGTACTGTGGCACACGCGCACAATTGAAAAGCAATAAACACCCTTTATTACCACCAAATTAAGCCGGGATCACAGCCTCCTGTGTGGATATACCTTTTCCATGATCAACTTTATTCAGCAACAAAAAACTCTCACATAAGTCTGTTCGTCTATTTCCATCGTTCTTCATCGTTATCGGGCGAAACCGATGGCAGTGACAATCGCTAACTGTGGTACTTCTGTCCGATCGTGACAACCTTGAACCACTAGTTTTTGCACTTGACTGCAAAACTCATGAAGGAAAGTGTGTAATAGCAGTCAGTCCTCACGATGTTCCTTTGAGTGGCTCTTTCGATATAGTAAAGGGAATCGCTGAAATCACACCTTTGGCTTGTCAGTGCCTTTATATGAACTCAACATTGAAAATTGGATTCCTACGAGATAAAACAAAATAGAAAGAGCGTTTCTCTAGTCCTTATAGACACTGGATCGACTCTGCACACGTTTTCTGTCTGAATGCAGGTTTCCTACACAATATAAGAGAGGCAAGAACACGCTATTGTTCAAGATCGGTGACTTCCACGTTATTGATAACTACCGCCCCATCTGCCTATTGTCTTTGGTGTGCAAACTTTTTACTAGAGCCATTCTAAACAGGATTCACAGAACACTGGACGAAAGGTAGCATTGTGAGCATGCAGGGTTTCGAAAAGGATTTAGTACGATAGAATAAATGCACACGACAACAAGAACCATTGAAGTTTCTCTAGAATACAAAAGACCGCTCTCTTTCACTTTCATCGATTTAAAGAAGGCCTTTCACTCAAATGAGGTGGAAGCAGTCATGGAAGCCCTTGATAGTCAAGGAGTCCCAACTCAGTACATAAAGATTCTTCGTGAGCTGTACAAAATTTTCACAGTCAAGATATCACCATTCTATAACGATATTAACATTGACGTTAAAAGAGGAGTTAGACAAGGCGATACCATCTCGCCAAAATTATTTATCGCCACCCTGCAAAACGTTATGGGAACGTTAGAATGGGATAATATGGGAGTGGAAATCGGTGGTCGGCAATTACACCACCTTCGCTTTGCTGAAGGTCGTTCTTATAACCTCAAACATTATCCAAGCGAATCCATGCTGGCTTTGATAAAACCTATGGAAAGATTGACCTTCGACTAGATCTCACAAAAGCGATGTTTATGAGGAACGGGTTGGTTTCACATGCCCCATTCACGCGGAACGAATATCTCCGAATGCTCCAGCCACGTCTCTTTAGGTCGAAAAATCAATATGATGGAAGACGACTTAGCTCCAGAGTTGACGATAAGGAAACCAGCGGCTTGTAGAGCTTTCAAATCATCGAGGATGTGGTGAAAAGAACAGAAAACACCTGACTCAGTGCCCACCTTTTCGACTCAACGGTACTTTCTGCTTTAACGTATTTATCAGAAACGGTTGCTACTTAAGCAGGATGAAAGAGATCTCAGTTTTATAAGACGCGCATTCGAAACTGCAATGCAGAGGGAGTATTCCGTGACACATAAGTGAGGGAAGTGATCCGGAGCATCAACCAAAATCAAAGATGCCGTTCTGTGCGCCAAACAGTCGAAGATAAGGTGGGCCGGACACATAATGCATATAAACGACAACCGATGGACAAGAGCCGTTAGTGACTGGAATTCTCGGGGTGTCAAACGCGCTGAAGGAAGACCATCGACCCGATGGTCAGAGTTTTTCACGAGAAACCTAGAAGAAAGACATGATGGTTAACGAGTCCCTTGAGCGTCCAGCGAGATTCCTATTTTGGGTATTCCTAGAAAACACATCTCATTGATCTCTATTTTTGCTGACAAGAAAGAATTCCCGAGTAAATCTATGCTTGCTACGAGTAGCTGCCCATCGTCATGGGAAGCCTGCCGGGATCACTTGGACGTAAGTGTTACAAGCTTCTCCAAATTGCTACCTATGGAAGTTCTATTCGCCTAATTATAATTTTTTGGTCGTGTCGACATAAGAGACATAAAGCACTGTATCGACACCGATATATCCGGCTCATCAGCGGCGGAATCCATCGTTGAGTCCATCAGGGTTTTAGGACGACTTTTCTGATCGGCGTCTCAGCTGCTCTCTCCCACCACAGAGCACATAATGAACCTTAACGATTAAATAACTCTCTTTCAAGAGAATTCATAGATTTCAAGCAATAAGCACAGAAGAATTGAAAAAATTCGCAAAAATGAGACTCTAATTTCATAAACGTTTAGATCTGCATTGTTGTCGATCTACAATCTACCTTAAAATCTATCTAAATTTGACATTATTTTACTTTCTATCCTTTACATTCGTTCCTGAACGTATACTAAACTTTGTGGCGCAGTGGTCGAAGGCGTCCTACGACACATACGTGGAATCGATCCCTGCGCCCATAGTCCACCAAGCCTCCCAACCCTCCGGGGTCGGCAAATTGGTACCACACTTTTCTAGGAGGATAGCAGCACTGACGTGATACATCGGTGGGCTATCGCGAGTATAGTAAAGGCCAGATATGCTTTCATTCACCTCGAAACGATGCTTAATGAAGTCGAGTGCATGGCGCATCCCTCAGAAATCGATGAATGCCGAGAGCTTTATCCTTTTATTATTTTATGCTTTAAATTTGTATTCAAATCGCTTTAACCACGCTGTGACGTCTGCCGAGTCAAATCATTTTAGCCATGTTGTGAGGTATGTCTCATTCCCTGGGGATGCACCATGCATTCGACTTCATCAAGCATCGTTAGAGGTGATTGAATGCATATCTGGCTTATGCGCTTACACAGTGATTCGCC